CTTTTTTTTTTTTTTTTCTCCAGAGAAGAAAGAGAATGTATAAAGGTTCCTAGAGATATGGATGATGCAAAGGCCCTGGGAAAAGTCCTGTCCAAATATAAGGACACATTCTATGTTCAAGTGTTAGTGGCTTATTTTGCCACATATGTTTTGTATCCTTTTTTTCTGATGTAAATGTCAGTTTTGATATAGTCATATTTCTCTGAAAAATAAATGAAAAATACAAAGTTATAAATTCTTGATCATGAGTGAAGAAGGCTAACATACTGAGGTGTGTTTATAAATAGACACAGATACTCCAAAATCTTTGAACTTAAAAACGTTTCTTACATGTTGCAGTATGCTTTTTGGATTGTAAGAAGGGATTGAGTAGAGGGAAATTGATGCATGCATGCGTAGTAGTAAATACTGTTGGGGATTTGCGTGCAGCTTCACCCAACTGTGTCTGTTACAGACAATATTATTGGTCTCATTTTAGGTTATGCTAACTTTTTAAATTGCAAACTGAGTTGCTGGTTAAAAGGAAAACTGAGACTACTGCACTGCTTTTCCTTGGCATGTTCAAAAGTGCCATATAAGGGTAACTTACAGAATTTTACAGCATTTCTCTGGGAAAGTTTTTTGAGCCTTCTTTCGTCTGCAGTGTTCACATTCAAAAACCAAATCTCTATTTCCTTTCAGAGAGCACTAAATTTCTAAAGTACTTTCTGCTTAGGGAGACACAAAGGTTACCTGTGTTCTGTGTTAACTTCTTTTTCCTGAGCGCTGAATATATTAATTAATCATTAAACACACTCTTAACTGGAACACTTTACTAAAGGTTTGTAACTTTTAAAAGCTGTATAAGAGGTCTGTTTCATACCTTTCATAGCCTTTTCAAAGTAACTCAGAGAAAAATCAGCACTGAATATGCCAGTAGTAATCATCCTCTATCTCATTCTTTTTAAGTGTAGTTCACAAATAATAAGATTTATGAAGAAAATTAAAATGTTAGTTTATATATTAACAAGAAGTAGAACAGAATTGGCTGTTTATTGAACTACTGTAGCAGCTGATGGGACAATTACTGTCTCAGCAGTAGATAGCGATCAGTTGACAAGCATGTTACGGTTATCTCAGAACTTTAACACTTGCTTAGAAAAAGCTGTGCTGATTGTACTGGACTTATAAAAAAGCCAAATAATCTTCTTTTATATTATTTCAGTCAATTCAACTCGGGTAAAATACTGTGCAAATTTTTTTTGCTTTATAAGATTTTTATCCAAAGTGGGCAATACATCATAGTCTCAAGTATGCCAGGCAAGCCTTAAGTTCAACAGCCTGTTTGCCTGTGCTGCAGAAACTTAATTTTTGCCTTTTTGAAAAATTCTGACTGAAATTATTGATCAAGTATCCTAGTTAGCTAGTGATCTCACCATGCCTATTTGTAAGGAAGTAGTAGTTGCCTTCATACATGTCAGCATTCCATGAAACTCACAGTTCTGAGCTTAGGCAGGAGTTCTGTGAACTTTTCAGAGAGAGTGCCTGAAATCTGCATATTTCTAGTCAACAATGTAAAATCAGAAGTATGTGTTTCCTGTAATGTCACAATAAATACCCAGTGTAAACTGTAGCACAGATAAAGAGGAAAATGTAGTACAGCTTTTATTATTTAGTGACTTATTTTTGTATATGTAATGATTGATATACCCTTTGTTTCTCCGTGCTTGGGCTTCTTATGCTACTTTGCAAATGTATTTTGAAGTAAAGATGTTTAGAGGCTCTGCCTATTTATACTTATGCTTTTTCAAATTGTAATATGTATCCTGAGTGCTTATACAAATAAGAATTGGGTAGCTTTTTAAAAATTTTGTTTTTTTCTTAACTAAGATGAATCCAGCTTGCAAACATTTGCTATCCCTGGGTCTATATTTCTCAGTATCCTGTCAGGATTTCTTTATCCCTTTCCACTGGCCTTATTTCTTGTTTGTCTGGTAAGTGTGGAAAATAGTTAGTGAGGGCATATGTTTCTATCCATTTGGAATACAACCAAACATCTAAACAGCTTCCTGTTTAAAATGATCAGAATCTGAGTGGAGTAGGGGTATGGATGAGTTCTCATTCAGCTCTGTTGCAAGAGTGGCGTTACCCACAAAATTCTCTGTAGCGTTGGGTGATGATCCCAAAGACTAAACTGTTTCTCCAAGTTTCCTTAATGTTGGGGGCAGCTGGGTGTGAATCAGCCAGGGTTTCCTTTACTTTAGATTTGTCTAGCATCCACCGGAACCTGATTGTAATTTCAGAACACAATTACTACTTTTTTATCACAGTGCAAAGCACATCTGTTTTTAAATGGCTTAAATACACAAGAAGCTTAATTTAAGAAATGTGTATTATTGACAAGCTTCAAAAAAGTCATGTACAAAAGATCCAGTCATAATGAGCCTTAGTACTTAAGAATGAGATAATTGAGTAGGTATGGAGGACCAAGTTGCTGAATTTTCAAGTTTGAATCTTTTTAATGACATTGTGCCCCTTATTTGCAAAGCTTTCACTGTTCAAAATCTTAAAATAAAACTGCAGAAGCACTCAATATTAACTGATAAGTAGTCAACGTTGTGTACTTTGAATGTTAAAATTGATCCAAATGCCTTTGAAATAAAGGAGCTGTCTTGAGTCAACAACATTCTTGGGGACTGTGTACATACTGCTGGAGGAGAGCCTTCAGCCTCGATCGAGGGTGGCACAGAAGCAGGCTCCAGCCAGCCAGGGTAGTTAATAGGGATATAAGGTTAAGATTAATTAGAGTTTCTACTTACTTGTTCTTTTTTTTTTTTTTTTTTTTTCCTTCAGTGCTCAGGACTTGGAGCTTCATTCTGCTATATGCTTTCATACCTAGTGGGACGTCCTGTTGTATATAGATATTTAACAGAAAAAGCAGTAAAATGGTCAGAACAGGTAAAGTTTCTAGAGATACTGAAATTTATGATAAAAAATGTGTAGTGGAATAGCATGGAAAACTAGGGGTTCTTGTGCTCATTTATCTATTTACAAAGAAAGGATTCAGACTCCTTTCTGACACTGTGTAGTTACTTTCTCTGAGTGTTTTTAAACAGTGGGGAGTATTCCTGACTCTGGTATTTCCTGTGGGGAAGTTGTTTTTACCTAGGAAGAGTTTGCAACTGATAACCCCCTCTGGTTTAGTTATTGTCAATAGGAAACCTCTACAGTTTCAACTTAAAATAATAGCTCTCTAAGTATCAGAACTAACAAAAGCTAGGTTTGTGTTTTTCATAGGGGAAGAAAACCTGTAGCTGTATGTCTGATTGCAAAACCTTAATTTGAAGATGTTATTGTGGTTGGAGAATTTAGAAACTTTCTCTTGCAGTATCTGGTAACATTAGTTTCAGCAAGCATTAATTGTCAGGTGAAGTTAAAGATTTTGCAATACAAAACCATAGTGTGATTAGTATTTGACCCCATGTCTCTTGCTTTGATACTCTGAGACATGTTCAAACAGATTTTTTTTTTGTTTTGTTTTTCAAGTATGAAGCACAACTTACTACTGTACTCTGTTCAAGGTGTTTGAATCACATAAAAATATTTTAAACTTGTTCTCCATTAGGTAAGATGTGGAGCTTTGTCCAGAACAATTGACCTTATTAAATAATATGGTAGTATTTTGACTCTTGACCAAAGTAAATCTTAGTATCTCAGTATAGTCTTGAGGCTGTTCTGTGAGCACCAAATGGTTACTGTTTCCATTAGTAGAACTGGATATGTGATTTAAAATTATGTAATTACATGTGCAGCTCATACCTCTTCGTTTCTAGGTTCATTGGACTACATCATGCTTGCATTTTGAGGGCTAAGACATTTTATGTGCAGGATTAATCAATGTTTAAATATTTGTCCTTCACTAAGATTAAAAAACCCACAGTGGTGTTACTGAACGACAGCAGGGCTACTGACTGTAGTGTTGCAGTTACAGCTAAACTTGGGGGGAAGAACAGGGTTGTGACTGGGGTGAGTTGGTACATGGGAATTCAGATGGAATTGCAGTCAGATCAGGTTTGATGTCAACTGTTTGATAATGTTTAGGCTTAGTGAAGGTCTGCCAGGATAGACCATAAGTGGTGGGTGGTTTGCTAACCTTATAACTTGGTTTGAGGTTACAGTTCTTGTTTGAAAGGGCTGATGTGCTAAAGCCAGGCTGGAAGGACAAGAGGCTTTGATGTAGCACTAGTGTAAGGAGCTGGGCTAGACTTGAGAATATAATTAAGACTGTAAATAAAATTGGGGCTCTTGTGGTTACTCTTGGGTAAATGTTAGTGCTAGGCATTCTAACCTAGGGGTTTTGTAGCTTTGCTGGTAGCAGCCAACTTCAGAGCTGTGAGGAATACAACTGTGTTTCCGGTTTAATCATGAGTCAGGACTGAATGGGTTGAGGAACAAACTTCATTGCTAGTTCCTGCAAAAACTCTAGGGAAAGGATGACAAGCTGGCCGTGTTGATTAGGCTACAGTTAGACAGGCAGAGGTGCTGAAGTTAGGGTTAGGCCAGTTGCTGTGCCAGATTACTAGTTTGCCGTTTAAGTTGGCTGATTCAGACATGTCATCACCATGCTCTATCACAGACTGGTATTTCCAGACTAACTTCAGTACTATTTAACAGGTGATTCACTGATGACTCTTCCTTGAGTCAGTTATTGTTTAACTGATTTTTGTTTGCAACTTGTGAATTTTTACAAAAGATACACAAAATACCCCTAACAAATCTCTGGTAATAAAATAATTGTGTATTTTCAAGGCAGGGATTTTTTTACTGATTTGTTTTTGTTTTGGCAGGTTGAACGACACAGAGAACACCTCATTAACTACATAATATTTTTGAGAATTACACCTTTTCTTCCCAATTGGTTTATCAATATAACATCTCCTGTAATTAATGTGCCATTGAAAATATTTTTCATTGGCACTTTTCTAGGTAAGAATTCTGGCTAGTGAACTGTAGTTTGGGGGTAGCCAGAAGAGATATTTGCTTCTCCCTGTATGTGTTGTTCAGCAGAGTTCACCACCTACTGGGCAGCTAAAAGATGACACAAGAATATTGTTTTTGTGCATCTCAGTATGTGGAGTTTGTAGCATTGAAAGATTTTAGTATTCAGGACTATTCTGATGTACTGGATGAGAGGTAATAAGCTCAGGCTAATTACTTAAGGAAATATACATTATATGAACACTTTATAGTAACTTTTTGTTCCACTTCATGACTATAATTCTTCTGTGAACATTGAGCTACATTGAGCTAGGTGTAATTGCGTGAGAATGTATGTGACTTTGATCTGAAGGAATGTTCCTCCCTTTTCCACTCCATTTTGTTCACCATAATATATCTTCCTAGGAGTGAATTCATATTTTAAGTAATGTAATGATAAACACTTTAGTTTTGTAAATGGCATATTTTTGCAAACACTTTTTCATCTGGTTAGAAAACATTCCATATTTTTTCCTTATAAGCTTACTTAAAATTTGTTTGTAGAGAGACAATTTGAAACTACAGAGCCTGAAGAGCAGATATTATTTTCCTAGTCTTCTGTGTTTGAGTTGGTGTTAAAAATATTAAAAATGGCATAAACCCAGTGCTTTTTATAAGGGTATTTTTGTCTTTGAATTTTGTATTTACATCCCTCTTTAAAAAAACAAAAGTACAAGGCATCAGATTTTTTGTTGTTCAAAGTTGGATGACTAACAAGCCTTTTTTTTTCTCTGCCTTCCTGCCCTTCCAATTCCCTGCCCCAGGTGTGGCACCACCGTCTTTTGTAGCCATTAAGGCAGGAACAACGCTGTACCAACTTACAACAGCAGGGGAAGCTGTTTCCTGGAACTCTGTGTTTGTCCTCATGATTCTAGCCATCCTCTCCATCCTACCAGCTGTCTTCCAGAAGAAACTGAAACAGAAGTTTGAATAAGGATCAGACTGGACCAGAATTTCCCATACTTCATCTCAGGATCAGCACTTCTGATATTTGTATATTTGCTTTTCTATTGGATCTTAAGCAATTAAAGGAGAGGCTCGTATTGAAAAGAATGTCTTTGAATGAACATGTGGCCTAGAACTGAAGGAACTTTGTTCAGAAATGTACTGCATATAGTTTTGTAACCAAACCATCAGTGTTTAACTTTTTGAGGGTGTTTGTGTGGCCCTCAGGATGAGGGAAGTGAAAACACAGATGTAACATTTTGCTCTGATTACGTGCAGAGCAAAAATTGTAATGTAGACATAAACTACAGATAATGCTTTCCAAAACTTGCAGGAAAAAACCCTTAATTATTCAGTCCAATTTTGTAACATTCTCTATAGGCTTGCATGTGATCTCATCTGAGTACATTTCTCACCAACAACGTTTCTCTTCTTTTTTTTGCCTTTGGGAATTCCAAAATAATATCATAATACAATAACGGTGCTCACTCAGAAACAAAGGTTTTTTGCAGTACTTTAAATACAATTATATTCTCATCCTGATTGTTTACTTCTATTTGTTAGTGCTGTGTGGATTTAAATACTTGAACCTACATCTGCTTTACTAACTGGATTAACAAAGACATCACATCATTCCTTCTTGTCCTCTGTAAAGTTTTATTTGAGGAGAGGATATATGAAGGGAGAGAGCAGATTAGAATTTTTATTGTGGCTAGCTAATGATTTTGAAGTTCTATTTTTAATTTTTTAATGTTGATTATTTTGCCAATATTTCACTTCAAAGGTTTATCCTGCCAATTTAAGAAAATGATTGTAGGACTATATAAAACTTTCAGTTATCAAGTGATTTAAAAATGTTTAAGCAGTGTAATATAAACATTTCTCAAGCAATATATAAAGAGTATAACATTTTGCATTGCAGCTCAGTTAGCTAGAAGAAATGTCAGGTACACAGATTGGTGCAGTTCTTCTTAAAGAGCTGATTCCAAGTAATATTCAAAGCATCACATAACAGAAGGCTCTTGTGTCATTGTGTATAAAATGGAAAGGATTAGTCCATTGTCTGGTAAGTCACTAACTGGCAATGGGCAGCCAGCTACGATTCACCTGTAAGTAGAAGTATATACATTCACTCAATAAGGTGTGTGATACCTCCCCTTGTATGCTTATAACTGTTGTAGTTTGTTGTATTGTCAGTGGAATCCCATAAAATGAAGCCCTGATCAGCAAGGAACTGGGGTGCACATTTAAGTTTTATCCTACTGAAACCGGTGCGGCTTACATGCTTTAAGTTGGTGCCCCTGAAGTATCTTGCTGAAATGGGAGTTGGCCCATTATCATATGCTCCAATACAAGGGTTTATTTGTCTGTATCCTCATGTGAACTCATCATATGATAGATGAGTTTGAGATGTAAGAGAACAGTTCCATAAATGTGATAATGTGAAAGGTACTGGTACCTTTAAAGGGTTTTGTTCTTTTTGTAACATAATGTTAATTGACTCCTTCATTTCATCACAGTATTACATGTAAATATATAGTAAACATTATTGATACTCTGTCTTTTATTTAAATCTGGGCTGCGCAGTAAATGGTATTTTTTACATTGGTAGATAAAGAAATTAATATCACTTCTGTTCGCAAGTTTATTGTAAGATCACTTAGCTTCAGCAGTTGTTACTTAGGATTTACTCTGAAGTGTACTTCATTGGCATTTAAAACTGAACAGTGATTATGTTTATTGCTGCAGTTTTAATCTTGGAGGTCATTTACCCAGGGAATTTATTCCACAGTAGACTTGAGTGTGAATTTAGCTGTTGTGAGCAAGTGTCCCCTGGACTACTGAGTGTGAAGTTGCTGTAGATTTACAGCCTACTTTTCTGCATAGTTAATTTATCATAAAATTATAGAATGTCGTGAGTTGGAAGGGACCCTCAAGAATCATAGACTCCAACTCCTGTCCCTGCATTCATATGGATGAACTCTCAGAATAAATTACCTACTACTTATCCAGTGGTTTTTCTCAAAATTTGACTCAATTTCTGGTCGATAACAGATGCTGTTGTAAAATCCGTTCTGTGCTGCATAAAGCCAGTGCTTTGGTGGAACCTTGACACTAGAGAAGGAACTGAACTATGTTTCAGTTTGATGTGAATCATGCTGTCAGTTGACACTTTCACCGAGTTACATTTCACTGTGTAGCTGGGTTCCCATCACAGTGGCTAAAAGCCTTAAGACCTTAAAAAGGTTGAAAATAAGGTTCTTTCCTTTTGCAAAGCCTTACCGTATTTTTAACATGTCCTTTATGTGTTTAGCTTCAGCTCTCAACGGCCTCAGGCAGTTTCCTACCCTATGAGGACCACTTCTGAGGGTTGTGAAGAGTTAAGGAAGGCCTTGTGAGAAAGGCAAAACAGCACTGTGCTGCGGAATGCTCTGCTAGCCTGCTCTTTCCTTTGGGGAATCCAGCAGGTGATCCAAGGGATAGCCATTAACACTTTGACAGAAAAACGGTGGCTACCAAACAAACCAGGAAATTGGGAAGATGTAGCTTTGTTTTTTAACTGCAGGGATTTTTGAGCTGTTAGGTGACCTGTTTATCTTTTGGAATTTTTTGTGATCCTTGCATGACATCATTACTAAATGTCTCTTACCATTTAATAATAAAGCAATTATATAAAACATGAAATGTATTTTTTAATACAATTGAGAAACATGCTGAATTGCCCACTAAGCATAATTTTTTTATTAACCTGTTTAAAAAGGATGAGTTCTCAAATTATATTTTTAATAACTGATTGAAGAAATTAAACTAGGCTGGTTACATCTGTAGATGAGATTCATTCTGTTTCTATCTTACTTTCAGAACATGTAGGTAAACTTGACTTCCTTTTCTCTCTGAAATTAATTTCTCACAATAGTAATTTTGTAAAGTTTTTGTATTTTGTACTGGAAGGCAATTGGGTCTAACTTGTTTTATCTTATCAAATAGAATGATTTGCATAATTCACTTTTTTATTAATTCCTGATGGAAGGAAGGCTCATGTATTAAAATTATAGCTTCATCCACCTTTCCTTAATATTCTGTTATGTCCAGTTCATGGAAATTTTTTTTGTTCTTGTATAGAAAACTGATGCTTCTCAGATGGAAGCTTAGGTATTGTACTGCAAAAGGTTGTAGACCATTGACAGTTAAGTCTTAGCATGTGCTCCTGTCTCTAGTGCTTGCAAAGAACTCTGTATGTCTTGGCAATGTAAACTCAAATATGTGGTTTCATGTGCTTGATAGCATGTTAAATAGATTTGTGTCTGATGAATTCAGAATTATCGATGCAACCTTAACTATCTGGGCAGTCCTAGGTACTCCTAAAAGACTGAGAAGTTTAAATTTCTCCTCTTATAAGCCCTACAAAATAGGGAAGAATGATGATGTGAAAGCCACAACTAGAGAACTGAGTGAGGAGAGGAAGGGGAACTGCTTCCAGACCTAATTTTAGTCTAGCAAGGCTGTCCTCGGTCCCTCTATGGTCAGAGGAAAGACACGCTGTCAGCTCAGGGCACGGGTGCGTGTTACTAGTCCCTCAGCAGCTTAATTTGAGTCATCTTTGCCCCAGGGGCTTTTTTCCTTTCCATGCTAGGGTGGAGGGGAGGAATTTCACTCAGCTGTGAAAGCCCAACTGTTAACCGAGTCTGTGATGTTAATCCAAATAGGAGGAAAAAAAAAAAACCAAACCCAAACCCTAAGCCCCCAAACAATCCCTGCACCCACGCTCTCCCCCCCATGACCTGGGCCAGTGTCAGGGTATGGCTGATCCACAGAGCTGTGGAGTCGCGACAACCAACTGGGGCAGCAGCCGTCAGGGAGCG